AAAATAATATGTATTAGGTCAGGATTTCTTTTGGATTCTGTCTGCTTTATACCCCGTATGATAAGGTCCTAGGAATATCTAGGTCCTCTAGCACAATTCTATGGTCAATATCTGGCAGATGTTGACCATAGAGTTGCATTGGAGGACCTAGAGATTCCTAGAGAGGTATTCTCTCAGGTAAAAACATAGTGTTTTTGTTAGTTGCAGTTTTTCCACATTCACAGGGGTCCTGTGCCCCCAGCCACAGAGAATGTGGAGGGATGAGTGTATTAAACCTCTTAGACAAGTATAAATTCTTAAACAAGTATAAACACTTATACTCTCATAGGGCTGGACAGGCAGTGTTTTGGTATAACACAGGTTCCTGAATGCTTAATGCAAATGAGGATTTACTAGAAGGCTACCATCTGAGTTGGCACTTTAGCAAATAATAATAATAATAATAATAATAATAATAATAATAATAATAATAATAGGGGGCAAGCATTCCTCACTGCACAACTCCTTCTGATCTAATATTGTTCAGTTCCACAAACAGCTTTCCTTTCCAATAGTAGTTTAGAAGCTGCTGCATGACATTCTGCAGAGAATTCATTAGCAGCTATATCAGGAAATCTATTCTCCAGGTGCCAAATGGCAAATTTAATGATGAAAAGAGATGTGTGGCATGATGCAATGCAAGAGTCAACGTATCATGTCTTCACAAAAGAAATACAGCCATGGCCTGACACTGCTTTGCTTTATTTCCCTACTTTGAATCACATCTCATGGTCCACAGTAGAACTATATAATACTCCAAAACACTCTTCTTGCCTATTAGCAGAGCTTGGAAACATTTTTTTTAATTATTTATCTGTTTTATTTATATATCACCTTTTCCCCAGAGTGAGAGCTAAGGCGGTTCACAGATAAAATTGATTAAAAACTTAGCAGAGAACATATTAATAAAATCCATGAATAAGCAAATCTGCAAAAGTCAAAGCCACAAATGTGGAGGGATGAGTATATAGAGTTTTTAAATGTTAAATTTTAATATATATGTTTAAAACAATTAAAATCATTTAGTTTAGACAGTATAAAAATACATTTTAAAAATTATAGAAGTTAAAAAAATAAATACATGCAGCATCACTCCCATCCCATAAGAAGCCTCATTGAGAATGATTATATATTAAGAGCCTTCTTAAACAAAAATGTCTTTGCCTGCTGGTGAAAGGTGAGCAGGAAGGGGGGCAGCCTCCTATCGAAGGGAATCCCAGAGGGTGATGGACCAAAGGAAAGCCTCCCCTGTAGATCGTAAAACTCTTGCTGGTTCATATGGTGTGATACAGTCTTTCAGATAGTCTTGACTCAAGCCATATAGGATTTTAGAGGTAATGACCAGCATTTTGGATTGCGTCCAGAGTGGTTTAACAAGGGTGTTGTATACTCCCTATAACTGGCTCCAGTGAGTATTCTGGCTATAGCATTTTGAACCTGCTGATGTTTCTGAACAGTTTCCAAAGGCAGTCCCATGTAGAGTGTGTTACAATAGTCTAAATGTGATGGAATCAAGGCATGTGTCACTATAGCCAGATCTGATGTCTCAAGGAACTAATGCAGCTGGCACACGGAAACCCCTAGAAGTCTGTAGGGGGGTTCTGTTCAGGGGATTCTGGGAAATAGAGCTTTTCCCAACTTCTTCCAAGACTTAGGGGCAAAACCTTTTCCAAAGCCACCTTGAAACCCCACCAACCGCACTGCCGGTTCCCAAGGAGGCTGGAGTGTGCATGTCATGACCACACAGACATGCTGCTGGGTACTTTTATTTTCTTACTGTCCCCACTACCATCTATGTATACTTTTGCACGAGTGAACTGCTTATGACTGTCAGCCCATTGCATCCCTGTGAATCTGCACACATTCATATGTGCAGTGCTTCACCAGGACAGGGCATCAGAGCAGAGGTGTGCCCATGCAGATGCCAGCAAGGTACAATCGTGCCTCCCTTCACACACACCCCATCCTATGCCCCCTTTGACTGCCTGTTTTGTGTATGCTGTACTCATCTCCATGAGAGGTTCCATGATTTCTCTATTGGGCATTACCACCCCCACCACTTGTGTACAGCAGCTTTGTTCCTTTTAAATGTGCTCCTGCAATGGGGTATTTACATGCACAATTAGGGGTAAGGTTTGGAGAGAGTGCTCTTTAGAGCCGCACTGGTGTTGGTGCATTTATATATACAGATGAAGGTGTGCACTTTCTGGGAAGAAGCAGAAAAAAGCAGATTCTTTTTGAACTGGCTTTTCTCCCCATAAGATGGCTAGAGGATGCTTTCCGGCTGGCTTCAATATATGCATCATCTACAGACTCCATCTTGAAGCTGGCCTGAAACCTGCTTATTTTGCCCATCTGTTTCACCCCTTAATTCTGGATCGCTTTTGCTCTCCCCATGTAAGAGAATATCTGGAATATCAACCAGACTATTTTTCTTTCTCATTTGTTGCGCTCAGATTCTTCATTTTAAAATAAATAAATAAAATTAACTGTATTTTTAAAAGTTCATTTCCAGTATGAATTCAAGATGCTTGTGTTGACATTTAAAGCTCTAAATGGCTTGGGACCTTGATAATTGAAGGAGCACCTTTCCCCATATGGCCTGCCTGAGGATTAAGATCTGCAGAGGGGCTCTCCTTAGTGTCCCACCCGTGAAGTCAGCACACTGTGTTGGGATACGGAAGAGGGCCTTATTAGCGTGGCACCCCAACTGTGGAATGCTGCCCCCTAGAGGCCCAACTGGTGGCAACATTCATGTCATTTGGACACCAAGTTAAAATTTGGCTGTTCACCAACAACGTTGGGCTTCTTTAATTCAACCGAAAGACAGTTATATACAGTTTTAAATTTTTAAAAAACTGTTTTTAACTCATTATATTGTTTAATATGTTTTTAGCTTATTTAAAATATCTTATTTTTTAACCTGTTTAACCTGTTTTAATGCAATTTGTAAGCTTCCCTTGATATAGGGAAAGGTGTAACTATTTCTATAAATAATATAAAATAAATATTAGAAGTAAGGAATACACAGGAGGATGGTTATCATTGCATTCTTATTTTCCTCCTCCCTCCTTCTCTTTATAGTCAAGAGGCAGGTATCTATTTACCAATGCTCATTTTATTTTTATTGAAAAGCATTATCTTTTCTTATATAGTAGAATGGTGTTTATTCTCAAGTAAATAACTTTAGCAAGGCAGCAGAACCAAATGCCATTTTCTTTTGGTGGTCATGTTGGCAATATGCTTTAAGTGTGTTTAAAATGTGGAACTGCACATGATCAAAATTTATATTTTTTAATATCGAAGTTGGCACACTGTTATTATTTATTGTGGTTCCCCCACTCCCAGCATACCAGGAATTGAGATATCTCGATACAGGATGGAATGACAGGGATGGGAGAATATTAATTGTAAGTTTCACAAATGAAGCAATGCTCACAGCTGCCTAAGGAGAACTTTAGTGGTGGATTCCTGCATTGACAGGGAGTTGAACTAGACGACCTCTAGTGGCTGGGGTACCCAGATCTCAGGGCTTGAATCACTTTCTCTTCTTAGAATAAGGAGGAAGAATTTGATGGTGAAGTACTGTCTTGGAAAGTGTACACGTATATATTTTTCTCTTTGGTTATGCATGGTATTTCTGATTTGACTGGCATATTATGCGGAGTTGTCATTAGTGCTTAAACTATCATGC